CAAGGACACTCAGATTTTGGGAATCACCAAACTTTAGCTGCCATTTTCTTGCTAAATTTACCTCTGACACCAGAAGGAATATATTACAAAATCCACACTATTTCAGAAATCGGAATTCCTAGATTTATCCAGAAAATCGGCACATCTGTAACACCTTTGTAATATGAAAAGAATCTCGACAAAATGGCCTGATTTGGTGCACAAGGTGAAATAATAGGGACAGTTTTTATTCTGGTACCAAACCAGCTGAGAGCTGGGATCTGAACACAAAACAGCCTTGTAATACAGAATTTTAATAGAGATAAAGAGAAAAACAGGTTTAGCTATAGTGTCAATTTTAATCTCACTCTTGAGAGCTGGGGTATTTCAAATATTATCATTTCAACTGATTTCAGCCAAATTTTCTTCTGCTTTGGCACATAAGATATTCGGAATTTGCTCATTCTGGTCGGTCACTTGGGCATGCTTGCCCATGCCTCATACATAGTTTTAGTAAGAGTTTTACGGCACTTGCAACACAAAAGTTCATATTATAAGAGCTGAAGACCAGAGGTGTAACAAGAGAGTAACAAACGAAAAAAAAGGAGGAGAGATCAAGACGATAAATGTTTGATAAAAAAGAAGGAGCAAACCACATCAGAACACCCGCCAACAACCTGCATCTCATTATTGATGGGTCTAGAAAAGCAGAGACAATCAATTTTTTAAAAGACTTACTTGACCCGTCTCCAGATGCTCTTGAGGTCCGAGTCCCTGTGGAAACTGGCCAGTTGTGCTCCACGATCCTTACAGTTCTGGGAAGCCTCCTGCCAAGTCAGTGGATCTGAGACCCTGGGAGAGTTGTACTGTGGAATCGATGCGAAGAGTGTTTTGTAAGTTTTGTACAGTTGCAGGGAAATATCTAGTGTGAGCAATGGTGTGCGTTTACGTGTGTGTGTGTGTGTGTGTGTGTGTGTGTGTGTGTGTGTGTGTGTGTGTGTGTGTGTGTGAGTGTGAATTAGTTAAATAGTTAAACACCCCCCCCCTCCCATCCACACACACACAGACAAAAAACCCTGATCCATTATTAGATTCTGCCCATCCGGCTACTCACTCACAGAGGCTTGACGACATCCGAAACTAATGTGCCCTTTTTAACATAGTTCCTACTGTATAAGTTGTCAAAGGGAAGTACAACTTGTAAACAAGCCTGACCTCAATCTTTGAGCGCAAAAATAGATCGAAACTGCGAAATTCTTGCAAAATAAATATTTTTAAGCAGTTTCTATATAAGGGAAAACAACATGGAGCCTGGTATAATAAAAAGTCCTTTCATTGAGAAATATTCAACTAAACTTTGTGAAATTCATGCATAAATGTGTGCTAGGGTGATATCTCCATAATTTTGTGTTGATTCCTATGGATTATAAGCACTTATAGAGTTAAGAAAATGAGGTAAGTTGAAATTTTCGAAGATGTGTAGCGCAATTTTTTTTTCTCATTCGTTTTATTCTGATGGAAAATGCAATACAATCCTCTATTGATGTCCATCAATTTGTTAAATGACAATATATGTGTAGAGTAACTTAGAGCCTCACAGTAATGCGTTAGATGCACCCCATGTAAAAAAAAATGAACAGAGAAAAATAACTCTGCCCAGCGCATGAAAAAATCATGAATGGAATCAGTTATAAGGAAGAACAAAATATCAATGACAAAAGCACTCTCACCTAAGAGGTGCCACACAGCCATGAAACAAATGCAGAACTTTACTAACCACGTCAAAACACGCATACCTGAGCGTATTCTACTGTACCATTGCGCTCATCAAATACATGCCAGAGCATGCAGTAACATAAATCAAGCAACTGAACCACAACAGGTCTGGTGAGACAAAGATATACAATTGTATTTATCAAGATTACAAATCAAAACTACAGTCCACCAGCTCTAACGGCCACATGCCTAAGACAATCACCTGTACAAACACCCACTCCCATTTCCTGGCTTGCGTTTTAAAAATATCATATTGACTGTCCAAGTCGTCCATCTGTCCAAGACAACCTTATTTCTCCTCAACAATGGGTTTTTGTCTTGGAAAGATCCGGCTGTATACAGAAAAGAAAGGAGAAAACTGCATGGAACCAGTAGAAGAATCCCAGAAATGGATGTACAGGAAAGTGGGAAGACATGGAATAACATCAGGAGGCAAGCCCAGAAGAGAGAACGGCGGAAAGTGTTTGTCTATGGCCAATACCCTGGTGCAGGGTGAGAAATGCGATGATAATGATGATGATGATGACAAATAAAATAACAATTAATATTCTTATGCCCAAACCTGATAACATAGACTTCCTTGGGTCCACCAGCTACTGGGACAGGACTGAGATAACGGAGTGGGCACAGTTGCCGAGTTCTCGTTTCCCACGTACTTCTGGCATATGAAGTGCTGTAGCGTACCACAAGGTTTGTTTGACCAGTCTCCAGCGTACTGCTGGGTACCAACACTCACACATCGGCCAGAAGCGTCTGAGGAAAGAATACAGTGCAAAAATACACACCTCCTAATGTAATGTGGATAAATGTGTCATGTGTAACTATACACGTTTTCAGGAAGGAAAAAAATCAGTAGCTGTATGAAAGGAGAAAGCAGCAACACAAGTTCGCTCTTCAGTCTATTAAAAGAGTAACTAAGATCAGCTTACAAGAAACATATACAAAAAAAGGATTAATGATTCAACATTCATCTCTTAAATAAAACCCAAAGAAAACTATAAGTCTCAACTCCTTTGGAAAGGAGCCCATGGAAAACGTATCCTCAGGAGTAAACAGCATACACCTTTTGACAAGGATTCCCCTTCTTATAATAGCTTTTTTAGAAAAACAGCATAATTCTCTGCTTTAAAACCAAATGAAGTTAACATATTTTAGGGAATCAGTTTTTAGCATTTTATAATTTTTATATAGACTAATGGACATACTAAAGTGTAATTTTATGTTTTAATGATTTTAGGGCAAGTTTGTCCATATCATCTGCATTATTTCACAATCGGCAAAATTAATTTCGGGGTAAGTTTCCAGATACTTTTTAAAATAAATCCACACAGGGACATCTTTCAATGCATTTCCGTCATTTCCTTCGTAGTTTTTAATTGAAATATATAACGAATGCTCATGTTTTCTTCAAATTTTACAAAATGACTAAGGCACTTGTTACATGGCCCAGACAATTTATAAATGATGACCAAACAAAACTCAGTTTCAAGTAGATTGAAATGGGCCCTTGAGGCCTCCTGCCCTGAAACTGCTGCCTCAATATATCCAGCTCCGGACTAGGGAAAACATTCCATAAAAGTGGGAAAATCTACCTGGTTTCAGCAAACCCCAAGGCGCAAAAGTCACAGAACGTTGTAATGAGGAGTAGACATAGGAACCTATTCCACTGATATCCCGTACGTCAATCCAATAGCTTCCTCTTAGGGTAGAAAGCTGGGATGTCAGGTAGCCAAAAATACCACTGAGAAAGAAAGGATTCAGCCAAACATGTCACAGCAATTTGTTATTTGTAAAAAAAACACCAAAAAAAACAACCAAAAACAAAAACAAAAACAAAAACCAATGTCTTGCTACTCAGCAGATGCTGATTGAAAATGTCAACAATATTATTTGATTATAAATTGTACAGAAGAAAATTGAGTCTCTATAAGACACCTGGACTTCAGAAAACTCTTGACACGATTCAAACTTTCCATAAATCAGGTCTGACATTCTCCGCCTGAACTCATCTATGTCAATAGTTAGAGTACAGTACAGCATTCAGTAACTGAAATCACCATAATAAACCGCTGGAATTAACATTAGGGAAGCAAACTTCGCTATGTTTTTTTTTTTTATGTTTAAAGATATTACTTTGAAAGGGTCAAATCAAAACATGTACATTTGTGTAGTAAAGCTGAGCTTAACCCTTTTTTCACACATAATGCATATGGAGGGTTATCGGTCGGTCGTTTCATACTGCCATTTTCTATTGACAAAACTTAACTTTTGCATAGCTGTGCCAAAAGACAAAGCCTGTCACTAATAAATCAATATTTCTGAGAGTCTGTCTGACTAGATCGGCAAAATGAGGCTGCCTTCTGGGTCCTGAACTGACTTAAGGGGAGGCCAACTTACAAGTCAGGAACAGCCAACGTTCCATTATTGTCTTTGCAGGCTACCACAGCATCATCCCAGGATTTCTTCTCATGTTGTAAGAGAAAACACTGCTTGTTGTACCTTGTCCATCCCTGAGAAACAATATATTACGAAGAATGTTAATGACTAATCAAAGGTAACAGTCACTGGAAAGAGAGAAAACAGGTGGAATAAATTATTGCGTAATAACAAGAGATAAACTACTAGAATTAACCATAAGAATAAACTGATATGGAGTCTTTTTCTGTCTTCTGAAACAAAAAAAGTAATTTGTTCATAACGTATTGTGCTGACAAAGCATGCATGCACAAAGGCATTTATGCATATATTATAAGGGAGCCCCCTTCCTCCCTCCCCCAACCCCTCTCTCTCTCTCTCTCTCTCTCTCTCTCTCTCTCTCTCTCTCTCTCTCTCTCTCTCTCTCTCTCTCTCTCTCTCTCTCTCTCTCTCTTTCTCTCTCTCTCTCTCTCCCTCCTCTCCCTCTCTCTCGCTCTCTCTGTCTCCCCCCTCTCGTGCTCTCTGTCTCTCACCCTCTTTCTTAATCTTCTCCAAAATGCATATTCCTACTTCCTTAAAAAAAAAGATTACAATTTTAAAGTGTGTTCCCAAAGGGAGTCCATCACTGCTTCTTGCATCGTTCTGTGAAAATTATTATTGTCACTACTAAAGGGGTCCCTGACCCACAGAGTCTATTCCCATGGTCGACCCCCACTAGCTTTTTTCAGGGTCTAAATTGGTCTTATGAATAAGATGCAAGCAACTTTAAAAACCAGATTTTAAAGAAAAAAAGTTGCGACTTATACGCCGCGCGCTATAGCTTGATAAACACTGTGTTAAATTAAAAGGCCCGCCAAGTGACAGCTAAAGACATATAATATGCTCTTACCTTGCCACAAACTGGATCCGTGGCTTCTTGTACGGGTTTGCTTGCAGGGATCTTTTCAGTCTTGCAGACATACATGTAGTTCGACTCACTGAACGCAGTGGACCAGCCACCATTCTGTAAGTGGAAGATTGTGAGAAAAATTTAAAAATTATTTAATAGTAAGTTTATGTGAGTGAACTGTGCAATATTTCTGTAATTTGAAGCTAGTAACAAAAATATAAGAATTATTTGCCACTCCATTTGGGTGTGAGTGCACTTGGTACTTGTGAAACTGTGAGTGTTCCTGTCCTGTGTGTCTCAATGGGTTAGCAGTTATGCACGTGTGTGCATGTGTGTGTGTGTGTGCATGTGTGAGTGTGTGTGCACACAGGCGCGTTTGTGTGTGTGTGTGTGTGTGTGTGTGTGTGTGTGTGTGAGTGTGTATGCACGCGCCCGCGTGTGTGTGTGTGTGTGTGTGTGTGTGTGTGTGTGTGTGTGTGTGTGTGTGTGTGTGTAGAGAACATCAATAAAAGGGAATATGCACGCAACCTCCTACTCCCCCCTCCCATTTTTTGTATTATTTTGACACTGTCCACGACGTCCACCTGTCAAAGACAACAACCATTCTTCTCAACAATGGGTAGACATCTTGGACAATTTCAGAGGTAATTGCACTCCTTCTCTCTCCGACTCACAGGTCAAGCCATAAGACTAAGCGTTTGCTTCCCAGAATGTCCTCAGGCAAATGTGAAGTCTGAAAGCCAATAGATAGTAATAGGAACTTAGCCATCAGTAGGGTCTTTTACCATATTATTTATGGTAAAATGCAGACACTTACAGCAGGAATGAAAGGTCGGTGAAAAACTGCTACACTAGTTGAAATAAATTCAAGAGTATTAACTTACTTTTCATGGTGGCAAAGTAACAAACTTACAATGTTCATGACAACACTTCGCTCCTCAAGGCCTGGATTACTGTCTGGCTGGTGTAGACCCCAGTTGGTGAAGTTGACCTGTCTGCTAGATGACCACTGGAAACGCATGCTCTTCTTCATGTCATTGAGGCCAATCCAGACTACTGAGGATGCTGCAAGCAAACACAATTTCTTTGCTTTAACATAAAATCAAAACTTACATCTGACAAATTTCAGGGGTTGGGAGGCATTTTGAAATGTGTTTGGAAATACCCAAGACATGATATTTTAGCAAGACAAAACTTGCTCCAGCATATAGTGCCTTTCTGCCGTCATATAAAAATAAGACAGCTGCCCTTGAAACACAACTCAGAGGGATTTTTTAAAAGAATACAAGCAACATGCAAAACCACAAAAGGTAACTCTGACAGATTTTATCTCAATTGATGAGTTGCACGCATCCTCACCATTTTCAGATGTTAACAGGCCAGCCACAAACTGGTTCTCATCTACATCTTCGATGTCCACCAAGTCTCCACTCAACTTCTGACAAGCCGAGCGAGCATTCAACCAAGTCCCCAGCGACTTGAGCAGGAAGTAGCATGAGTTTCGGAAGGGCAGCCACCCATTCGGACATACCAGACTGTTGGGACCTACATGGAAAAGAACAAAAAGAGATTGGGTTTGGAAATCAAATGAACTTCAAGCATATTTCAAACCAATATTTGAGCCCAGAATAACAAGGTTCTAACACAAAATCTTTAGTTCCTGGAGTTCGAGTGCCTAGGGCCTCGCCCCTGGACTCCCTCTACATCATATCTAAAAGTTACAGCTCCTACATTCTTTCCTGAGACAAAAACATTATTTATTTTGTTTTTCATTTAAAAGAGATAAAAGCTGTAAATACTGAACACAATTACAGCGGAGTCCACTTAAACCAAACACGTTTAAACAAATGCCAAAACAGCGTTAAATTGAAGGACAATATAATTCCCATTTCTTTTTTTCCGTCTGTTTGAGCAAACTTTTAAAATAAAAAAACCCTGGCTAAACCTAAGAAAATCAGTCAGTTCTGCAGATTTCCATGTAAGCAGACTCCACTGTAGCTTAAAGTGAAAGTAACTGAGAAAGAACGTTGTTATTCTCGGGTCGCAAACAGCGGCTCAACCCTAGGACCTTGAAGCCCAAATGCCTTGATCCTTGCGAGACACAAGAAACTGGACTTCCTCGAGTCAACCCTGACGCATCCGTCCCAAGTGCGGATGAATAAAGGTATAGTACTTTCAGGTGTGTTCTCGGTCCATAGAGATAGTTTGTGCTGTTCCAAGCCACAGGACAGCCCATGAGATTTAGCATTCCATCACAGCCATGCGGAAAGTACAGTGGCAACAGAACCCTACCCTACCGAGAAAGTAGTCTTACAAGACACATTATTTTAGATAGTATACATACTTAAATACCAAATAGACAGTTCTTACCTCAAGAAGATCATTGACTTCCTATAGTGCCTTCTTAAAACATTCACCTTCATCATCATCATCATCATTATCTTTGAGGCAGCATGGTGAAATCAGACGCTCGTCAAAATGATGAAATTGAAGAAATGGGCATTTTTCCTCCGGTTTGGCAATTTATGTTGACTTGTTTTTTGGTTTAATGCCTTTTATTTAAGAACACTTTTCTTTGGGGATTTTACTGAAAAGGTTGATGAAATGCTAAAAATATTTACATTATCAATTATCATGGAATCTCAGGCTATGAAAATAACCAAAATTTGGCAGTCATCTTCTCCCTAATTGTAACTCTGAAACTAGGCGATCCCCACCTTATTCAATCCCAAATATATCCACTTGCATTCATGGTAAATGGGTATTTTTTTCATCCATAGAAAAACAAAGAAACAAACTTTAAGATGATACCAATAACTCCATATGACCAAAAATAGACAAGCAACAGATTCCATAGCGTCTATTATTTTCCTCTCCCAGCTTTCAGCAATAAATTTCCTGGAGCAATTAAAACCATACATTTTCAACACTAATGCTCTTCATTGAACTTCGGGCACCCAAGGAGTCACGACACAGGAGAGTGTTCCAATGTGCCACTTACCCAGCCCAGTGCTGTAGATGGTGTTTCTATCCACGCCCCCACAGGTGAAGTTCTGGTATGGGGCACTACAGGCTGTGTCACAGGAGTCTGACTGGCCGTACATGCCGTAGCTATTGCCACAGTGGCACTCCTGGCCGTTCTGCAAGCCAGCATAGTGAAAACCCTGCAAAGAAAACAAGACAAATTGCCAAGTTTCCTTGATGGTTCGAGTAGAGAAGAAGCACACTGACACATTAACCACCATTCAGTGCTAGAAAAAAGTATGATTTGTGAATAGAACCAACTGGGGAAAAGAAAAGAAATAAGACCACCAATGGTACCCTCCAACCTGTCGTTAAATTCGCTTAAGTCAAGATGAGATGAACAGATATGTGGTGAGAGGACAAGAGACAAGAGGCAAGATTTTTAGAAAAGCAAAATGTCCTCAAACGTCTTGTGTAACTCTCTCCTCTACAGCCAGATAAACTTCAAATGTTTACAAAAAAGCAAACAGGAAAATAAAACTATAGCTGATTGAAGAGTTTTGACAAATTTGAAACATCTCTCTTTATTTAGTGGATAATAAAATGTTCATAAAAACAGGTGCTGGGTTAAACATAAGAAAAGCAAGAAAGTTTATTTTAAAGACATGAAGATGATACAAGACTATACATAACGTGAGGTGAGATGAAGGGAGGCAAAATTGGATGTGACAAGAGGGAAGGAGGAGAAATGAAGTGAGTGGATGCGAAATGGCATAGGAAGACAAATGGTGAGATGATGTAAAACAAGATAGGGAAAGACAGGATACAGACTGATAAAGTATAAGATATGGTAAGACAAGATAATGCCAGATAAGTTGTATCTTCCAGTGATCAGAAATTTTAACGGCTTTACAAAACACGAAAACGACACATACTTTCACATTCACATCAAATCATACTTAATGTTACAAAGTTCATGAACATACATTCAACAGATTAGCATTAAAGACCTTCACAGCCTCTCACTCCACTCCACCCCCTCTCCCCTCACAAAAAACCCCCAACAATTATAGTCCAGTGAGCAAATGAAAAGCAAAAAAACAGTGTCAAAATGTCAGTGAAAAAAAACCCACACAACACACTGAATACCAGAAATGGGAATGAACGCTCAACAAGCATGAGACCCAATTTAAAACAATAAAAAGAACAGAATTTCTACTCAAAATAGTAGCTCTTATTCTTTTATCTTTTTTAATATAGAAAATGACTCAATTTGGTTTCAAAATCCTCATTGAACTTCCCCTTCACCAAACGTACATATTTCCTCTGCTGACATAAAGTGCCAATACACCTACAAATCCGCTGAAAACAAACACAAAAAGTGGGGTACCTCATGGAAACAGTGTGACAGGCAGCCCTGAGGCCACATGCTGGAGTACTTGAATCGGAATGGTACGTATGGAAGGTCAGGGTCACTGGAGTCATCAGCATAACATCCAATTGGAGAATCAGCAAGGCGTTCTTGGGTCGACAAAAGAAAAGAAGCAAATAAATTATGGTTCCCTATTGATAGTTGCCAGATTTTTTAAATTAAAAAATAAGACTATGTATGTCGTGGGTCAATAAGGCTGGTACTGGACAAGTAACTCACCTCCAAAGCCTTCACACACTTTTCTGCATACAATAAATTAAAAATATTGCAAGCAGACTTGCAAGAAAATTTTCAGAAATGTTAAGTAAAGATCTTGCCTATTAACTTGCGGGCTTCGTTGTCATTATTATTCACAAAACCTTTTTTGAAAGTTCATAGTTCTTCGTCAGCATTTGCAAGTCCTTGAGGAGCTATACTAGAAAACAAATTACCTATTTTCTGATATAAAAAATGTACTTGCATACTCAGAGCTCAAAAATGATTTTACAAACTGGTTGCCAGATATGCTCATGGTTAGAGAGATATTTCTCATCCATCTCCCTCAAGTGGCCTTTACATTTCATTTTTGTTGTGTTGTGGGTTTTTTTGTCTGCTAGTTCATTTTGCTTTGTTTTCTTTTTTCCGGTTTTGGGTTGTTTTTATTTTCTGGGGGGTGGGGGGTGCTAAACAAGTAGACACACTTTACATCTCAAGGAGGCGACCATTCATCTGAAAAACATGGACTCAGATCAATAAAAGTAATATCTGAGGTATGATTCCTTCCACCCTCCTTTCATTATTCATAATTCATGCACTACGGGACAAAGCAACATTTCCAAATAATTACATACCCATTTAAAATTAATCAAAGCATAAAGATGATTCTTCCCCCTTCCTAATCTATCTCTCTCTCTCTCTCTCTCTCTCTCTCTCTCTCTCTCTCTCTCTCTCTCTCCCTCTCTTTCACTCTCTCTCCCTCCTTCTCTCTCCCATTCTCAGTCACTCTCAGTCAAATGTATTTCTCTCTTTCTCCTATTCTCTCTTTCAATATCCATGTCTATATAGACCCTTGAATTGTCTCCTTATCAACTGCATCTTCATTCATACATTAAACTAGTCAATAAAAAGTCCAAATAATTGGATCAAGACAACAAAAAAACTCACTGGAACAGGCATAAATCTCCCACCGGACAGACAGAGCACCCTCTGCTTCATGAGGCCAAAGCTGGACAAACCTTGCATTAACTGATGGTGTCAGTTCATTTTTTATAACTGTTGTGTTGTCAAAGTTTGCCGTGAACAACTGAAACAATTACAGAAGCCGTATAAATGAGTCAGCTTCTGAACAATGAAGTGGACTTTATCAAATCCTCAGACTGCTATATTGACACCATTGAAACGTTTTAGGAAAAGTAAAGTTACTCCCTCCCACCTGTATTTTTTTTTTAACATGCTTGACCTTGTGCGCAGAAGGGGGCCACTGAGTGGGGTTGCTGCTGTGTCCTGCAGGAATAGGCAACAGCTGGCTGTGATTGTTGTGATGCATGATAGCATGGGTGGGGGAGAGTTATACTTCCCTTTTACCAGATTTTACCAATATAAAAAGCACACAATGTGGGAAAGTCATATCACCATCAATCCTAGCCAAACAAATTCGATGCATGCCATGTCCAGGTTCATGAAGGGTGCCGGGGAAGAGGCGCAATGAGGCTGTTATAGCAGACCCAAAAGAACAATTACACATGAAACCTGCTCTCAATGGCCACCTGTC